GGACAAAGGAAATGGTGGATGGTGAAGTGAAGAATTGAGTGGAAGAGGATTATTGAGCGAAAGGGAAGGATGAGGTTAGGAGAGTGAAGGAATTGGAAAAGTGATAGGTATAAAGGTCGAGGGTTAAACGTTAGGCGATAGAAAAGACTTATCGATATCGGAAGCATGGTTTTCTCAAAGATGGAATGAATTTTGTTAAATTTCTTTGAAATAAAATAAAAATTATCCCCGACGAGATAAGAGATCGAGAGAAAAAAATTTCTTTCAAATTGAAAATAAAGCAGTTTAACGTTCAAGTAAGATTTAAATATCAAAAGCCACTTTTTACTCAACTTAATAAGATTAAGAATGCAAAAATAGCAGAAATAATTAAAACAAATTGAAGATCAAGTGCAAAATGCTGAAACGAATTGGAATTGGAATAACCAGGGATTAAAATTACATTTTTTTTTGTTTTTTTTTTTTCCCAAGAAGAAAACAAATGTTTGCCGAAGTGTTTCTAAGATGAAATTCTTCCCGTCGTCTAATGTTGCAGAAAGAACGCGAACAACAAATGGAAACGAGAAAGAATACGCAAGAAAATAGGTGTAGGCGAGGAGGCGGGTGAAAGAAACAAAAGAAAGTGGGAGGTTGTGAAGAGAGAGAGAGAGAGAGAGAGAGAGAGAGAGAGAGAAAACGGAGAGCGACGGAGAAAGAATAAAAGAAGGATTAAATGACTAGGGGAAGAAAGGACGAAACGATAGAAGCAGGAAGCGGAGGGGAGCGAGAGAAAAAATGTAGAATGATGTGAAGATGGCAAAAAGCAAGTAAGAAAGAGTGAGTCATTTGTTCGGCTTTATATCTGGCGTATCGTGTTAGTGTGTATATGAGTGTAAGAGATCTCGAAGATTGAAATATCGATGTTGAACAGTGAGATCGCTCGGAGAAATATAAATTCGAGACCTGCTATTATTTACTAAAAAGCGTACGTCGAAATAAATGTACAGATATTTTTCTCTCCGCGGGGAGAGAATTCATTGTTGGATAAAAGAAAAGTAAGTGTATTAAAATGGGGACAACCACAATTTACTAAAAAAAAAAAAAAAAAAAAGTAGATATTATTTTTACATCGAAAACGAATTCTCTGTTCGAATAAAAAAATTATTATTATTATTAAATTACGACAAAGAATAGAATTTCCACTTTCGAAAGATCTTCGAAAAAGTGAAAGAAATTTTTCTCCATACTTTCCTTTCCACTATAATCCTACGTTCTTACGTATCAACAATTTAATCCATGTGATTTTTCAAAAATAGAACGTTCCGAGAACAACAAAAATTATAATAAAAATCACGCAAAACATTTACGCTTAAAAAAATTCTCACGCGTTTATTTATTGTTTGTATTATAAATTCGAAAAAACTCGAAATAACTTTGCAACTTCTCGAAAGTTAGCGGCGTACACTTGTCAAGCAACAAATCGAAAAATCAAAAATTGCTCGAGGGAAGGAGGGAAAAATAGTTCGAGAGAGAAGGAAACGAACGGAGGGGAATAAAAATGGGGGAATGGTTTACCCCTCTCTCTTCCCCCCTCCCACCCCTCTCCCTTCCCTTCGGCTGAATTTTTCATTTACACTCGCTACTCAATTACGCGGAGGATTTATCGCGTTAAAGCATATTTTGCAGCGGACAGGGCGAAGCACCGAGGCCAACTGCAGGATAAGCTTTGGCTAAATAATTGCACCGTGTCGCGACGCACCTCTGCAACACTTCTCCTGGAGTCCTTTTCTTTCCAGTCGTTCTTCTCGTTCCACCCAACCTCTCCACCCTTTCAAACATCGTGGAAAGAGTTTAAGCGTCTCCTCCTCCTCCTCCTCCTCCTCTTTCTTTTTCTCCTCCTCTTCTTCCTCCTTCCCCTCCTCTCGCGCTGCTTCAGTTTATGCCTCGTCTTTCGAGTTGGTCTTTTAATTTAATTACGAGCAGAATCATCTGTACGTGATAGCCTAAGGAGGCAGACTTGGCGAAGAAAATTCGAATATTTCTTGCGTTTCGTTCCAAGAATTTGTCTTGGAAGCGCGATCCCTGAGATTAGATCGAGGGATTACGTTTAGAAGAAATTTAAGAACGAGATAGGTTTGTAAATTTATTTTGTTATTCATTCGATTCTTCGACGATTCTTGATCGCGAAGTTCGATCAATGATTTGTGAGAAACGAAGGGTGAATGTGAAATGAAATAATAAATTCATCAGAAACGGAATTTCCCGATGACGCTTCGCCTATTGATCGATGTTGATACGAAGTGGTCCATCATTTGTGATAACATTTCATGTTATGGGGATAGTTGGCGATTTGATTTAGATCGATCGTTTCAGGGTATATAACTTGGATATTAACGAGCTAACGTTTCATTTTTATTCGTACTTTTAATTCAATAAACATACATTGCATAATAAAATGAATAAATGTTATAAAATAATATTATAAGTTATAACAATATTCTTCTCAAATTATGATAATATTTCAAATATTGGGCTTATAATTTTCAACAGTTATTCCCATTAATTGCTTAATTAATGCAAAAACGATACACCGTGCATCAATTTCAATGCAAAAAAATAGAACACTTAAGAGATAGGAGTGCACACAGAGGACACGTGTCAATTTTAACATCCCCCTTTACGTAACGCTAGGTTTTAACGACACGTAGATTTATACAAACAAATTTATACGTGACACAATTCTCGACAGCAACTTGTCATCTAGTTCAAAAAAAAAGAAAATAAACATGAAGGATGTTAAACGTGGACACACACGTTATCTGTCAAATCCACGTTCTAATAACCAATTTTTTTTTAAACGCAGATACGACGAAGAATTATTATAAAAAAAAGAGTTTGTTGAATAGACAATGTGTGTTTAAAATTGTATTCTCTTCAGCAACAAGCAAAATGTGAAATTAGTATAAAATAATCACTATAGAAAGTTAAATTATTTTCCTAAACAAAATATCTCATATTTCAAGTTTAAACATAGGATCATCATATTGCAATTTTTTTCATTCTTAAATATTCACTTCTAGATGAAAATTTCTATATTTTCTTTACAAGTGTAGAATTTAAAATAAGAAAAAATAATAGAAAAAGATATTACGTCAAGCTAATCTTAATTTCATAAAATATCTACTAAAAGGAAATTTATTTGAATAATTGTCTTTATTAATTCAACATCCGAATCTTATATTATATTATCATTCTAAATAATGGAAAATTATGTTAAGAATACTCGTGCAATCAAGTCGTTCCTAATTCTACAAAGTATAATATTTACATTAAGAAATTTATTTAAATAATCGTCAAACGTGTTTCTATCACGAAATCCTATCGGTTCTAAATTTTCCAATAATAAAATTCCAAACTCTCGAATTCTTACATCAATTACGAGCGAGGATAAAAAAATTTCTCGGCAGAGAAAATGAAAAATTAAATTCCGTATCTCAAAAATAGAATTAATCCATCTATCGAGTGTTTTAATAAATCGAGAGAAGAGAATTGAAGGAAGGATCGAGCGGGCGACAGATCGAAAGAGATTCGCGATGGAGGATCGGCGTCACCTCTCCGACTCGTTTTTCGGCGTGTGATCAAAACCTGTACGGTTACCAAAATGCCGCCGATGGAGAATGCGCTCCTTAGGACCGCGAGTTATTTTAAGAGAACTGGTTTGGTCGCCGTGCTATATTTACTTTTCTCCGCCGCGCCAAAGTCATTGACAGCGTCCTCTTGCGTGGTCCTCGCCATCCTCGTCCTTCGAATTTCGTCTCCTCGTCCTCCCTGTATCATCCATTCCTCTCAATATTCCTCCAACGCGCGTTTATCTTCGCGCGTTATCGAACGTGCATCACCCATCACTTTCGATAATTCTTAGGCTGAGAAGATTATGGAGAGATTTGAAGACGGAGCGGGACGGAGCAGCTCGAGAGAACAATGGGCCAGAAAGGGTAATTTTTTTTAAGAATTCGAAGATGCGCTCGAGGACGTTGAACGATAGATCGAGAAGACAATGATGGAGATTTTAAACCCGAATTCGATTCTCAGCTTCATTCTTGCGGGAAGCCATGCGCGGGTTCGATACTTGCGGGGTTTTAACGTGTTTAACCGCGTTCGATTGTATTGTATGCAGATTCGCTTTGGTATTTTATTCGTTAGGTATCGTTGGATAGATAGGAAAAATAATATTATTAGTTTTGGAGGTACTGTTATGATATTGAATCAATTTTAGCGTAATATAATATATTTATAATATATTTGATGCAATGATAATGATTATCGTGGCAAGCGTTTCTCTCTTTGCGCATTCCCTTTCTGAGAGAGATATTTGATTAATAATCTTTTGAATAATCGTTTGTTGCGATTCATTACATTGCGACGCGGGAAAAACGATTTTTCGTGATTCGAAACGGTAATTTTACACCTCGTGGTGAATTCGTTTTGGAGATAAAACAAGGATCCGAAGAAGAAGGCAGCGTTAATTTTATCTAAACCGAATTGCTTTAACCGGGGTACTTTAAATTCCAGGTCAACAGGGTAAAACTGTCTTTGTTATTTTCGTAAACGTTTATTCTCGCTTTGCCAGATATTTTTAGCCGTGACTCCGCGCTAAACACCATGCAACTTACTACACCCTGTCATCCGCTTGTGCATCCGGAATATTGTTCCGTCCGAATTTATACGAAATTAATGCCACCTTGCCGAGTCTCGAGAACGAGAAATTCGAGACTTTATAACGCGAGTTAACCGGAGTCGTTGTAAAATTTCTGGAAGTACGTATATTTAAAGCTTAAAGCTCTTGTTATATACGTGTCTTTGGACCGAGATAAATTTCTTTCACGGGGGAAAAAGGAATAAAGGAGATTGAAAAATAAAAATAAAAGTTTGGGGAGGAAGAAAAATATATATATATATATAAAATAACAAATATTATCGTCAAATATTTCGATATTATTTTAATTTTTTTTTTATTGCAGGTAATATTTCAACTATAAACGAGCTGCAAAATATAACGTCTTATCGTAAGTACCTAAGAGGTAATCTCACAATCAGTTTAGAGATTTTTTTAATTTCACGCTAAATTAAGATTCCCATTTTACCTGGTCTGATTTTCTGTTAAATTAAACGTAAATCCAAACATTTATTATTACATTTCTATAACACACCTATAATAATGCTCGTATAATATAATCTTAATCGTGAAAATATCAATCGAAAAATAATTCTTCTTTTAAACCTTAAACCTTCACAACGCAAAAAATTGAAAATACGTTTCTATTAAAAAGAAATGTACTACGTTAAAATCAGAATAAATACATTTCCGCTCGAATAGGTTAGTCGAACTCGAAATATTCCAAATATCCGGCTTTTCAATTCGATTTTCGAAAATCCAACCAATCGCCAAACTCGACACAAGCGAAATCGTCGCCCGAAACGTTTTAGCAACTACTCTTAGCAACGCGTCGATTGAAATAATTCGCGAAAATTCGATTCCATTAGGCAGCGACTAGAGTTGGAGAGCGCCACGGATATTTAGTTATTACGTTAGAATCCGTGGGCTTCGCCACGTAGTTTAAACTGTGAACGCAAGGCTTCCTCGGGGAATTCGCCGATTAAGTCGGTAATGAGCGAGATGTGTGTCACGTTAAACTCGGCTGGATACTCCGCTTACGGCCACGTCTCGGAAATGAATTCCTATCCGGGGACGTAATTCGCGGGGAGGAATTTAAACGGGATAAATAACGCGATTAATACACGTCTAATTAATATTTGCATCAAGATGTTTGCGCGGGATCGTTCATCACTCGCGGTGATATCTCGCGCCGGCTTTCAGATATTTATCGATCTTCTCGAGCGAGACCCGACGCTTTAAAATGCTCGCTGTTTAAACTCGCCGTTGTTAAACACCCGCTCAACTTTCCATCCTAAGTGTTCGATTACGATCCAGTTTTGTTCCCCTCCCTTTCTTATTTCGTTTCTGCCGTGAATAACGCGAACGGATGGAAAAATTTATGCTTTTATGCTTTTCGACCTCGAAGGAGATAACTTGGCGATTTAATATCCGTTCCAGTAACTTTTTCTTTTGTGAAACTCTTCGTGTTAAATTGTTTTAATATCAACATAGAGAGTTGTTTTCTCGTTTTATATTAATTTAGTTAATAATTTTTTCTCTCGATATATTTTAATTTTATTCCTATTGTATTTAAATATACAGGTGTTACAGGTAATCTTAATGTCGATATAATACACATCGATTTAATTATACGTAATACGTGTTAATATATTTATAGAATTTAAGGAGAGTTAATTGTAGAAGCGAAACAAAAATTGATGTATCTTTCTATCTCTAATGCGTTTCGTTTGATTTAAGCAAATTTAAATTGCTTAATAATTTAACAATTAAGTAAGACATCATAAATTTTCGTAAAATTTGATAAATATCTTAATTCTTACAACGGTGCAAAACGTTAGGTAAATTGATTGGAAAGAAAATCATCGTGGTTCGAGCGAAAATTCGAATCCATTGCCTTTCTCTCGCTCGATACCTCATTACGAGGATAAAACGATTATCGATGCAATGTCGTTTGAATCTCGCGCCGCCTAAAGGCATGTACCGACAATGCGCATGGCATAGTAATTTATGTATCGAGCTCGTGACGGTCTAGTTTCACCATTATTACGTTCCTGTATTTTTCCCGTATCCTTTCCTTTCCTCTCGTCTTGCCGCATTCTGCAACGATTTCAACGTCACGGTATTTGACATGACGATTTTATTGTTCGAAAACAATGGAATTTATATTCAAAGTGAATTAATGGATGGAATATTGCCATTTCTGTTAAATGGATCCTACCCTATGCTATGCTCTATTTCTAGACGAATATAAATTAAATGAATATTCTTCAATAGGTTCTTCTTTTTAGTTAGGTAAAATCTTTTCAAATTTTTTACAGAAATTGTTTATAAATTATACACAGAGAAGCGTAACAACAATTCAACATTCTTATATAAATAATAATTCAAACGGAATACGATAAATAAATCGTTTTTCTTTTTTTTTCCTTTTCTTTTCTTTTCTTTTGCTCGCGAATTAGAAATTCTTTCAAAATCGAACAAAGAATTCGAATCATTCTTAAAATCAAGCTACGTTAAAAAAAAAAAAGAAGAAAAAAAAAGTTAGAAACTCTCTCTTCCACTTTCTACTTACTTTATACCTTCTAATTAATTCGAACGTACAATTGTCGAGGCACGCACGTTTCCAAACCATCCTTTAATTATCGAAGATCAACGTTTCGTGTCGAGATTCACTGTGCAACTGCAACAGGAATCGCATCGTTTCCACGAAACGCAATACGGTTGAACGTATTTCTGGTATGTCTCACTGTTCTTCCGGAACACTTTGAGGCTCGCTGCGACGCGTTTTCCCGCACGTGCATGCGCGCTTGCGATCACATGGGACCCACGTTGTAGCGAAGTGAATCTCGAGCCGAGGTAAATGCTCGATTACACCGAACCGTTCGAAACCGTGTTCCCGTAACTAATCTTCTCTCTGCAATTCCATATATTGGAAATACAATTGTATTATGAATTTGAGGTGGATTTTCTATTAATAATGCAACTCTAAATCGATTTTTTTCTTTACATTTTATTCTTCCATTAATCATTTTATTTATAATTATTTTACACTTATTTGCCCTTCATTTAACAGGATCTTCAAACCCTTTAGGATCAAATTATAACAATTATAAAATTACATTTCATCCATACTTTTCAATTAAAGATTTATTAGGATTTTATCTAATTTTATTAATTTTTATATTAATTAAGTAAAGTCGTATACGAGGAAATTTGGAGGAAGCGCAGCTGTCGAACCGTTCTTGTCACACGTTTCCAATTTTACATGAAACTTCTAATTGCGGGGCGAATAACGAACTGTGTTATCGAGGAAGAGAAATTTTGGAAGTAATTAAGAATAAATAAGAATAATTGAAATCTTTGGTTGTGCATAAGTCGAGGAATCGTTAATGAATGGAATTTTTTGAGTGTAATATTTGGAAACAATGCGATTATTTGAATAGATTTTTTTTCTGTTGGAAAAGTGTCGCGAGTCATCTTTTTTTAAGGAAAAAGAAAAGAAAGTTTCAAATCATCGTTGACAAAATTTTGAAATACAAATTGTTTCTTAAGAAAATATTCGACGAGAAAGAGGCTTCTCTGTGAAACGGCGACGAAAGATATGTCGCGATAAGAGAATTGATCATGAAATCTCCAATTCAGCAATGAAAGAAAGTTTACCGTGAAATTTGTAATTGTAATAATTAGACGATGGGTAAAGATTATAAAGTCGTAGTTGAAAATGAAATAACGTAAAGGATTAGAAGCGCTGCTAATTAATTGAGAAAAGAATAATCAGAAAAAAAGAACATATCGGAATAATTAATTATATTCTCTAGATGGAATCAAATTACATCGAGTGAAATTACTGTTTGATTCGAGGAGCGCGGTTAATTAACTGTCCAGAGAAAAGATTTTTAATTACCGAGATAAGGATTCAAAGACAAATAACGAATTTTCTGAATGTGAACGAGATTCGAGAGAAATACGAAAGAGTGTTTTTTTTTTCTTTTTCTTTCTTTTTTTTTTTTTTTTTTTTTTTTTTAATTACAATAGAAAGTACAACTTAATTAGCAAAGGAAAAACGGTAACTTGGCACAAAGCAGTGGCAGTAATGCGATAATTAAACAGAGCCAAATACGTTAGTCAGTTAATCTTGTTTTATTTATTAACCCTTTTCTTTAAGCATTCTTTAAGATAATCCCGTATGCTTGGATTCATTTGAATCGCTGGAAATTTAAATGACCGCCTTAATGTATATTATATCAAGTAGATTAATTACGAGATTATAACCTCGTTCTATCTCCAATGTTCTTTTCTTTCTTAAATAAATATCGTTCGAATTGTTCAAATTGTACTGAATGTTATCAAAAAAAAGAAATGCCGCTTTAAAACTTTTTATAAATATTTTATATATATTCTCTCGCGTTATTTTCGAATACAGTTCTCTGCAAAAATTTATCTATAATAAAATTACCAAAAAAAAAAGAAAAAAGAAATTGAAAGATCAACACTCTTTAAAAATAATAAAATTTAAGTTCCGAAAGATCTCGGATCACTCTTCCATTCGTATACACTACTTCCATCACACTACTTTCATCGTTAATCTAAATTATTACCCATCATCATCATTATCATCATCATCATCATCATCATCATCATCATCATCATCGACGAGGAGAAAGAACGGCAACCGACTCGGCGCATAGCTCAATCCCGGAGGAATTCGCGATCACGCAAGGAGCATTAGAAATAGACCTAACCAGCGCCGACAGGGAACCCCTAAGAAGAAGAAGACTGGAGCGAAGAGGAAGTATAATAATTGGATGTCAACAGGCGCGAGCGCGCGTAACATTGGCGCACGTACGATTCTGCTAACCCATGTCATTCCATCCATTCCAACTCCATCTTGCGTCTTCCACATTCTCTCCTCCTCCTCCTCCTCTTTCTCCTTAAAAAGAGAACCTCTGCTCCTCGTCATCTCCTCCTCCTCCTCTCCTCCTTCTCCTTTCCTTCTTCTTCTTCTTCTTCTTCTTCTTCTCCTTCTTCTTCTTCTTCTTCTTCTTCTTCTTCTTCTTCTTCTTCTTCTTCCTGCTCTGCCTCGCCACTGCTGACAACCCGCCGCGTAAATAAAATAAGAGAGCTGCTGACAGTTAGCCTGCCCCCTAACTGCGCGTTACGCGCTTGTAGAATAAATTGATATGTCACCGACAGAGTTAATAAAGTTAATCGGGGATGCAAAGTAAATTAACGGCACCCTGTCGGGGGAGGAAAGTTTAAGAGGAGCGTGACGAAGGTCGGATCGAGTTGGGATCCAAGTTGGAGGATTCGAGGAATGGACGGATGGATAAGGGTGAAACAAATCGTATCGAAGGTGGAAAGTACCTCGGAGATTGGGAAGGTTGTTCG